CCCCAAAACCCCAAAACCCCAAAACCCCAATTCAGTTTTGAGATTGTATTATAAAATAAAATTTGAAAAACAATGTCAATAACAAGAGATAGTCATGACAACTTGGTTGTATTATCTAAGCTCAAGGCTAATTATACACTCATCTGGTTGCATGGACTTGGAGACGACGGTAAGATGGCATCCTAATCACTCTATTGCCTCTAAAATAGTTAAATATCTATCATAACTTAATACTATAAACAAGTAGTATCAATCCAAATGTTTCAGAAGAGATCTAATACAAAATCCTGCTTTGATTCTTTATGTCTAACTTGGCACTTAATTTTACGGTAGTTCTTAAATTTAATTTTGAATAAATCACGCATAAACTTTCTTTCTTAATCACTTGTAGCTAGTTTAACCCCTATGAACAAAACCCTATGTCTCAGAATGTGTTTTATACTATGTCAAAATAGCTTTAACCAGCTACATTCTTAGGTGTTTTCAATTAAGAGATAATCAGAGAGTATATCTAAATTGCTTGTTTATAATCCTTTGGAGAATTTGAACCGTCCTTACCAAAATTAGGAAATCAAAAATAAGAAGAAACAACTATTTTTAAGATTTGTGGGGATTCTCTGACTGCCACTTGAGGTTATTTTGGGACAAAAACATCACTTAAATTTGTTGTTAATTAGTATAAATATTATAGAGTTTGGATTCACAGATGTGTTTACTTCTCACTTCAGTCCTTTGACTGATAGAACAAGAGTGGTTCTTCTTAATGCTCCTGAAAGAAAATGAAAAATTGCGTTTGGGCAAGAAGTCAGCTGATGGTTTGACATCACAGGATTCAACTTCTTGAGAGATAAAACTCAAATCAACTTTGACCATGTCAATGAGCAAAAGGATCTGATCATTGAAGTTATTGAAAGAGAGGTTGAGAATCTTGGTGGAGACCCATCATCAGTTTTTATTGGAGGATTTTCTCAAGGAGCAGCTCTTGCCTTCTATACTGCTTGTGAGTATGAAAAAGTGCTTGGAGGATGCATTATGCTTTCAGGGCATTCTCTTTATGATGACCCAGAAACCCAAATACCAGAGTCCAAGAAAGAACTTCCAATTTTTGCTTATCATGGTAAATTTGATATGAAACTCCCGTACAAAGCATCCTTCTGGTATGCCGAAAGATTATCGGAACTTGGATTCAATATTGAATTTCACACTGCTTCAAAAATGGGTCACACTGTAGAAGAGGAGGAACTTGAAGTATTAACAGAGTTTATGACTAAAATAGCTCCAGAGAAAGAAACTTAATAAATATTAAAAATTTGAAGTTTCAATAAATCTAATGTACTGAGGGGTTTTGGGGTTTTGGGGTTTTGGGG